CAGCGTCTCAAGTCACATCCTGGCCTCTGAGAACAGCCATTTTTTGGGGGAAAAAAAAAAAAAATCTCGCTTTTGGTGTTTGCCTGTTTTTGCTTGCCAAGGGTGAGTGGGGGGAGCAGCTCCTCCACCCACCCCTCGATGCCAGCGGTTTGGCTCCATCTACGTGCAGTGACTCGGAGAAAGAAGTTACGGGTACCTGTAGGCAAGAGCCTTTAACTTATATCAAAAAGGTTTATTCCAGAGAATCTGTGTATATATCTATAAATATATCATGTATATATATAAATAAATATATTAAAAAAAAAGAATGTATAATACTAATGCAACATAAAGCAGTACTGAGAGAGAGAGTCTCAAAATACGAGCATTGCAATCTAGGATATACTGATCTGGGCAAAAGAAAAGATGTTTTTGATTGTTTTATATCTTCACAGTTTTGTTTTAAAAATTGTACCTTAACGTGTATATTTGTAAAGTTATTTATAGATATTAACATATCTGTTCATTGGTTTAAATAGCATAGCGTTACTGTAAACTTTAAATTTCACCGAGCTTAAGGGTGTTTTTTTAACTTATTAAAAGTGGAGAAAAAATATATTAATCAAGTTTTTCCTTTGTGTTTATGGGAAATATTGAAAGAATGTATAGATGTACAGTCCTTTAACAAATTACATTTAATGTTATAAATATATATATGTATTCATTAAAAAAATATTAGTTTATCCTGGATTGCAGTGAGCAAAGGTAAGTTTATTTTTCAATACATCACCAGTGGTTAAAACCAAACAAATAGCAACAGAGAGATGATTTTTACATATTTCAGAAAAACAAGGCCAAGAATTCTTCCATCAGTTTAACCACTGTGCATTAAGGGGGTGTGGGTGTTTATTTTTCTATTTTCAAATGAAGGTATTCTTTGTGGTCGATTTAATAACAAGTGTGCAGCAAAGCGAAATGTTGACTTTGGATGATGTGGGGTAGGGTTTTTTTTTTCCCTTTTGCCAGTACTGTTGTATTTTGGGTTTCAGAAATGCCATGTGAGCAAAATAGTGACACTGTTCACAGGAGAGCTGCTATGGCTGCGTATTTCTTTTGCATCTAACACGTTGGAAAATACCAGTGACACCTGATATTTGGTGTTTAAAATGCTGTGCTGTTTTGTTCCTCAATGCCAGATAGCTGTTTAAAAGCACAGGACTGAAATAAGGAATGTTAGCACGGATCAGGCTGACAATGGGGGAGGTTTGGGCTGAGGATTTTTTGTGGGTGGGGTGTTTTTTTTGTCCAGGAGACTTCATGTACTACCACAAAGAGGCAAGGCAAATTGCATCCTGAATTCTTTCTTTCCATTTTTCTCTGGTGCGTATTACATATCAATGTTGTGGAATAACAGGATGACAGCATCTCATTTTAAGATTTTTTTTTTCTTCTTAGAGCCACAAAATCCTTACCCTAAAATAAATAATTTATAGTTTGAGGTTACTTCAATGGAAGTTTGAGAAGGTAGATTTCTATAGATTTTTTGGTTTGTTGGAATAAAAAGAAAAGAATTTTTTGGTATTTTCTTACAAATGTCTGCTAATTGTGTACATTCCAAGTACTCGAAGCATCGAGTTTTCCTGTACTGAAAAAAAGAAAATGTACAAAACTGTGCATGATTTTAAATGTTACTAGATATTATAAATATATATATAATTTATTGAGTTTTTACAAGATGTATCTGTTGTAGACTTGTTGACTTTAACATTTCTTATTCAATGCTTATATAGTTTTATAGCCTGGACTATTATCTTTAAAAGCTTAAAAAAAAATTTAAAATTCCAATTTTGTTACATTTTATACTGTTGATGTTACAATCCACAGGTTTGCATAGCGTGATTTTTGCAATGAGCAACTCTGTTCAGTTTATTTTAATACTGTATTTCTGTGCCTGACAGCTGTAGCTGTCAAAGGTGTGAGATGAACACTAAATAAAACTATTCTGCTTTTGTTAACATGGGAAACTTACTTCTACCAAAAAAAAAATTTAATAAATAAACAAGATGTTAATTTTTGGGATTTACATCCAGTTGTGAGGGTCCTTTGCAAAACCAGGTCTTCCAGGCACTGGGATTTGTAGTTCCAGGAGGGTTTAATTTTTATAGTGCTGCTTTGCAAGTCCTGGCCAGCACAGGTTTTGAATTCATAATAAGTTTATAGCAATTTTGGTTGAAGGACCGTATTCTGTATTTGTTAGTGAGTACATTTATACCCACACAAGCCACTGTGTGCACAGGGTTGTTAACCCCTGCTCTCATACGGAATTAAGCACATAGCAGTAGCAAAAGGGCAGGAATTGCTCATTAAAGCTCCCAGTGGGAGACTTCTCCCAGCCCAGTGGGACAGGCACAAGGGACCTAATCCTGCCTGGATCCCAAGGGGTGACCAAGTTTGGCTTTGGATTCAGGCTCAGGAAATCCTGGTTCAGGTAGTAGCAGACAATGCAGGGGGATGTTGCAGTTTGGGAAACATTGGGCCAATCCTACCAGCCCTTATTATATAATATTAATGGATTTCTACAAGTGATCATGTTGTACTGCATCCCATACATCTTGATTTTTGCATGCAAGTTTGTCTACCTTTGTATAGCCTGCCTAGAGGAGCAACACTTGTGTTTAAGTAACCAGGCATGGAATGGCATGCATCCAAGGAAATTACATCTTTGGCACTGGGACTGGCACCAACACTGTTACATCCTAATAGAATTTAAAAAAATAAAAAAATTACATGGGATTTAGGTCATTTCCCTGCCATTGCAAGAGAAAAACACATCCTTTTAGCACCACTAAGATCCACTGCATTGTGGGACGAGTCTTGCTACCTGAGTTGTTTCCATGCTTTAGGGACATGCTTTGGTGGCCAGCCCTGAGCCCTGCCCCAGCAGGAGGAGCGTGGGCCAGGGGACAAGCCCTGATCATGCAGGGCTGCAGTCAAGTCAGAGTGCAGCTGAATGGCTTTTTGCTGGCTCATGTGGAAATTGCTTCCTCGTGGCAGGGTGGTGAGGATGTCATGTAACCATTTGCAACCCCCAGGACTCGAAAAGCAGAAACAGAGCAGATTGTTCGCCAGTGAGCTGTGGTGTGTAGTATACCTGTGCTTTATAGCTGTCCCAAAAAAAGTCTTCTTAGCACACAGATAGCACAGAGTCAAAGTCACAAAGAGGAAAGTCTCTGTCCCAGCGCAGCACTGACCCACGTGTGGTGCTGCCATGGTATTTGCTTTCCCTCTGGGGTTTCATGATGTCATTCTTCCTCTGCTGGCCTTCACCCACAGCAGTGTTTGCTTGTGGCCTAGGGAGGAGGGGGTAATATTTTACTTTAATTGCCCTACAGTGCATCCAGTTCTTAGTCCAGGATGAATATTTGGCTTCAGCGTGTGATGCACATCAAGTAACGTGCAAAACAATCTCAAGGAACATTTGCAAAGTTGCTCAGTTGGGCTGTGTCCCTGAGAGAACATCCCTCTGCAGCTCATCTCCCCTTCGTTGGCTGCAGCCTTCCACCCAAACCCTATGCCCTTTCCACATGAAAGAGTTATTTTTCAAAGCAGAACAAATGTCTTCTTTCCTCTGCGGGTGACTACATAAATAGGGCCTCTCACTGGCTGCCGTGACCTGTTTCATAGCAACATTCAAATAAATTCCTAAAATTGTGATTTATTTCCATTGGTCATGGCTCCATGGTGAGACAGGGAGGATTTGGCAAAAGGAAGAAAAGTCTGAAGCCCTGCAGGTGTCAGTAGGAGATGGCAACTAAAACCAAAACAGCAAAGTTTCCTGGTGCCATTTCAAACTCTCGGAGGTGTCTCCTGCTGGTGGACTCCTC